ACAATTCTAGGGCAGCCACGAAGACTGCGGCAACCTTAATTTCTGAATTTGCGAGTTGAGCACACACAGGAAAACGTATCATAGAATCACAGAACGGCCCAGGCTGGAAGGGACCTCAGAGATCATTTTAATCCAGCCTCCCTGCCGCCAGGGACACCACCTCTCGACTACATGGGGACCGAGCGGGAATCGAACCCATTGTTAGCGCAGCACTCAACCGACTGAGCTAACCGGCCCCCTCTTCACGTAGGTGAAGAGCTTGACGGACTCCGGGTCAGGCTCCCAACATTCCGTTCCATTTGCCTTTGCACGTTTTCAATTCGACAACGTGCTTACTCGCGGCGGTTAAATTAGGAAGCTGTGGTTTAGTTCCTTGTTCAGCGAGCTGTTTATTCGTTATTTCTTACGACCCGCTACGGGCTGTGACCGGAGCTGTTTATTCGTTATTTCTTACGACCCGGTACGGGCTGTGACCGGAGCTGTTTATTCGTTATTTCTTACGACCCGGTACGGGCTGTGACCGGCACCACTGGTGTCTCACAACCCACTCAGCGGTGTGACTAAGTTTTCTATCGATATTACTACCACGAGCCTTGTTTCAGGCACCTCGCAGAGGTTTTTTTTCCTGCTCATTCGAGTTGAGGAGCTTAAGTATGTCCTGACAGGACACGAGGTTCAAGGGTTTGGGCAGAGCTCCTTTGGGATTTTACTGTTATCATCAATAAGTCACAATAAGAGGAATAAGTTACAGTACGAGACCCTGGAGTTAGGGCATTGCTACATTTTTTTTTAGGTAGTGCTGACCCATATCCTTGAAAAGCAGAGATGGAACAAATCTAAATACCAAGGAACAACCTTGCAAATTCACATCTGGCAGCAAAAGAGAGCTTTGGGACCTGTTTTTTAATATATTTAACTTACTTCAACAATTGGTTTCCCAAAGGTTTTTCTCTCCAGAGCGTATTTCGTAGCTTCGTCGAGCGCTCTTTTTGCTAATCCGGTGGCACCAGCCGCTACCTGAATCGGGCACAGCACAGAATGAAAATCAGAAGCTCCTGCTGTATTTTTTTTTGAAGGAACTTGTTTCAGATACTTACAGGCGCTCTGGTCTTATCAAAAGCTCCCATGGCGATTTTAAAGCCAGCTCCCTCAGCTATTAGTACGTTTTCTTTCGGAACTCTTACATCTTCAAAGACAATACCTCTGGTATCAGAGCAGCGCTGACCCATATTCATTTCCTGAAACGGGAAGAGATTTTCAAGTTTTCAGGATCCTTTCCTAAGGTTCAATGTCTATTTTTGCCTGCTACTACAAATAGCACTTTCTTTATTTTGTTTCTTTCTTCACACGCTCCCCGCCACCCTGCCAAAAGACAACTCCGAGGCTTATTGCATGAGCAGGAGCAGCTAAAATTAAAGCACCCTGTGTCTTTATGGTTAAAGACGTGCAAAGCCATCTTATTTTGGACCAATTCCTTATGAGAATCGGTAAAATTGTAATTATTAAACACGCCTGCGTGTGGCAAAACTGCAAAGATCACTGCAGACAAGCCGACGCAGATGTTTTGTTGCTCAAGCCTCTTTTTTCTTCACCAGCAATTTGTGGCATTATCAGTTTAGAAGAGACTAATAATTCCTCGTCAAATCAGAGATCCGCTCTTCACCTTTCTGCCGATTTGGATTCCAGGACTATTCGCTTCCACGATGAATCCAGTAAACGCTTTGCTTGCCGGGGCTTTTGGATCCGGATCGGTACGAGCGAGCAAGAAATACCTGGGGTAAAACAGCCGAGGGGAGTCAGGGCATCCTCACCATTAACAGCTTTTTTTAGCTTAACATGTTCAGTATTTTTAGGTGTGTTTGCACAATGTAATAAATCAATCAGTAAGTTAACAACCTTTTTGTTCTTGCGCCTTCCGAAAAGAAGCGGAGAAGGAGCGAAGAGAGGAAGTCTCAGTGCGTCTCTTACCCCAAAATCACGATTTAATAAAATTATTTCAGACCATCGTGCGAAGCTTCTCCTCCTTCTCCGTGCATTGTCTTAATACTAAAATCAGCTTCACCAAGAGTACAAAATAAACTTAGTTGCAGCGGCTGCGCAAAAATCGGTGCTTAAGAAAGGCAGCATTGCCTGAAAAAACGTTATCGCCTCGTTTCAAAGACCTTAATTCTGTTATTCTAAGCGCAAGCTTTAAATAAGTTCCTTTCTGTCAGAAATTCAACTGCTGTAAATCACATTTATAGCTTTCAGCAATATCAATAGATTCTCTGATGGTTCTGCCTTGAACAAGGAAATAAATGAAGGGAAAATTCAGCTTTATGCCTAAAAGGAGCCAGATTTTCCCCCTGAATTAAAAAGAAACGGTGTCTTAGGGACGAGCGTTGCTGAAAGAAATCTGTCCTGCAAAGCACCTCCCTGGACACCACAGCAAAATCTGCATTCTTCAACGCTTGCAAAATGGCTTTTCTTAAGAAAATAAAATGTAACAACCCAATCTCAGAGCTTTTCTATCTTCACTAGAAGTGAGGATGTTCTCAGCAGTATGAGAAGCAAGCGAGCCCTGTCACCACACCCACGGGGCAACGTCCTTGTAACCTCCCGAGTACTTTGGGAGCGAACTCTTGCTGTCGCAGCCCCTCCCTGAAGAGAAAGCAGAATTGATTTTGTTCGGTAGCAGCAAAAACAGAGAGGTGTTCCTGAGCTGCCTCGTTGTCACAGAATCACAGAATGTTCAGGGCTGGAA